GTGAGCCAGGAGGTGAGGCTGAGGAGCCTAACGCCGAGGGAGGCCCGGAAGGAAAAGACTAGAAATCGGGCCTTCTCGGCGGTGGCTCCTCGTCTCTGGAACAACCTACCTTCTGAGATTGGGTATTTTTATACCCTCGCTGGGTATTTTTAAGAAACAATTAAAAACATGGATGTTTAGGCAGGCCTTCCTAACAGATAACTCCGGACGACTTTTCCCTTCTCCTACACCTCTCCCATTCTGTTTAGTTTTTTTGTTATGTAAAATGGTTTTATATGTATATTATTGTATTATTTTTATGTTGTTAGCCACCTAGAGTAGTCCTAACACAACCAGATAGGCGGGATATAAATAAAAAAAATGCATCTTGAGTCCTGAACCTGAAGAGCAGCACAATAAGAGAAACACCCTAAGACTGGCTAACAGAAATATTCCTATATTAGGCCTTGCACGAAGAATCAAGAGCCACAATGTTGCTATGTAATTTCTTCTATTACCACTCATTGCCTTTGTTTTCTGACACAACAGTTTGCAGAAGGAAAGTGATAGTGTCTTATGGTTGTGTAACACTTGAAGAATCCTGAAATACATATGAAGCCATGTAGTTTAATAACTGAAGTTTGTATGCCATTGCGCAGATCTGATCTAATTCTGGAAGCTAAACAGGGTCATATGTGGTTAGTACTTGGATGGAATATCAGCAGATGCTACATTAGGGAGGGGTTGTAGTCCATTGGTACAATCCAGTCCCAGATTCAATGACCAGGTAAAGGGTTTGTATACAATTGGTTAGGTTGAGGTATAGTGGTGAACAAAGTGAATTAAGGAAATGGGACCAAAACATCACAGGAGTTTAGCAAGCTCACCAGACACAGTCTAATTGCTGGATAGCTCAGTGGTTTAGGTCTCTGGCTGTGGAGCCAGAGGCTGAGAGTTCAATTCCCCACTGTGCCTTCCAGCTCTGAGTCCCCTCCAGCTCTGTAGTTCTAAGATTATAAATAACCTAAGTCTGCAAATATTTACTGATATAACAGGGTTTTATTATTTTACATAATGCAAGAAGCCATTGAGAATTTTGCAAATTATTCTGTACTTTTCCCAAGTCTATCATCATAGAAATGGCTGGAGGGCATGGTGGACAAGAAATAATAAGCAGTGACATCTGACGTTAGAGAACAGAAAAGTGAATGAACCTGGATTAGACAGACAAGATTATTAGCTTCAATAACAGGGCTTCCAGAGTCCATGAAAGAGTTTACCTTCAGTACAGTCACAGTTCAGTGTACCAGCTTATTAGGATGAATATTTTAGGCCATACGTTCTGTCCTAGTTTAGTCACTGACCCAGTTTTCTTTGTAGCAAAAATACTCACTCAATATTTTTAGCAGAAACAGCTAGCCATGTGCTGGCTACAGTAGTAAGCTCTACTCTGCGGAGTTTGATGCATTCATCAGGACTTGGCCAGCCCAAGCTGCGATAGTCTCTCCTGCTTCCTGAAAAGAAGTGGACAAGTTTAAAAAGCTACAACATTCAGGAAGTTAGCTTACCTCATGCTGGGTCACATTATTAGTGTTATTAGTTCATCTAGGCCAGTACTCTGACAGACAGCAACTCTGGAGTTTCAGACATAATCCTCTCCTAGTGTACCCCTATCCAAGTACAAACCAGGCCCAATCCTTGCCTAGCTTCTGAAAATACTGTTTTGCTGGAGTAACAATATTCCCACACATAAAAAGTCACAAGTAAAAAAGAAGCTTTTCCAATTGTTTTTCTTTGCCTGGAAAGCCACCAACAGACAAGAGCTGACTGACCCAGCTGGAGGCGCTGAATATTATCTATTTCCACTTTAGAGGTGAAAGTCTAAATATTGTCTCAATAACCAAAGGCTCAAAAGGTGCTGTGTCTGGACATACTGTGGAGAGGTAAGCAACCTGGTGCCCTCCAAATGTTTGGACTTCAGCTCCCATAAGACATATCAGCATGGCCAATTATCAGAGATAATGTTATCCAGAACACCTGGAAGGTCCTGTGCAAACCCATGGTTTTAGTTGTATGAATTGCACCAGGTCTGGCACTCCCATGCTTCCCACGTCTTTTCTCCTCCACAAGCTACAAAGAGGCGACTGGAAAGTTTTGCCAGTGTTTTGATTAACCCCAGTTTAGTACAGGAGTGGGAAAACCTGGACACTCCAAAATGCTCTGGAGAGTCCCTGACTGTTGGCCTTGATGGGTATGGCTGCAGAACAAAACACTGGGAGGGTTTGGGACTCCAGCTTCGCGTACAAACTCTGCTTTGCAGTTTGTCTTAATTATTTTTACTTGCATCAAATCAGGTTGAAAAACCATAGTTTGATGTTGGTTTATTTCAAGTAACCATAAATTGATGACTTCTCATCCACCAGCTCTGTGATGTCATCATGGAGGAGTGGAAGATTCCAGTGGCAACCTGTGAAGCTCTGGTGAACTCTGTGCCAAAGAGGGTTAAGGCACTGCTGGAAAATAATGGTGGCTACACAAAATATTGACACTTTGTGCCCAATTTGGACATTGTCACTTGGGGGTGTACTCACTTTTGTTACCAGCAGTTTAGACATTACAGTAATGGCTGTGTGTTGAGGGGACAGCACATTTACAAGCGGTATACTCACTACTTTACATTGTAGCCAAGTGTCATTTCTTTAGTGTTGTTCAGATGAAGAGATATACTAAAATATTTATGAAGTGTGAGGGGGTGCTACTTACTTCTGTGATATACTGCGTATCCACATTCACAACATGCCATTTGTTCCCAAGTACTGTACATGTATGAGAAGCAGAGCTTCCCTAGCTTCTAACCTTCCTGTAAATCCAAACTGTGTTTTTTCGCTTTCCTCTGCACTTCCTGTTAAGTTCTGACATGGATTATTTTAAAGAAAACTTTATTTCTCTGTAGTCAGTGTAAGCTTTGACATTTTCATTTTTTAGTAAGGCAATAAAGGCCAATCTGAGCCAATCTTTTGGATATATTCCCATTTTGCAGACTATTAGAAACATTCACTGAAACATCTGTGCCACAATCTTCTATTAGCCTCCACAAAAATAACAGAGTCCAGGAGCTTTGAGGATTTTCATTAGCCATATTATTTCAGATTTCATTATTTCTGGTCATATTAAGATCTGATAGAATAAATTCTGTTGGTCTGCTATCTTCAAATAGATATTTAATGTACTCTGTCCACATGATAATATTACTCTTTATGTCAGGTAGCAGAGAATTATTGCTAACCCTCAGTAGCAGCAGCAGCAGCAGCAGCAGCAGCAGCAGTAGTAGAAGGAGGAGGAGGAGTTGTTTTTAAATATGCCATCTACCATCTGGATCTTTTTCTGGACATTAAAGTAGTAATGGACCTGCCTTTTCTATTTTTTAGACATTGGTTGAGACCATTTAATTTGCTTTCTCTAATTTTGTTTTGGATGTTCTTGCATAATTCTCTGTATCTGTCATCACTTTTATTTTATAATTTTTGTCCTTTTGCTGGCTCTAATATTTCTTCTCTCATCTTCCTTTAGCTTATATCTTTAGTTTTGTGGCTGGTGTTCATAACATCCACAAATACCTCTGTCTATTTACAGCAATAGCAATTATATCTAAGCTATACCAGTGTATTTTTTATTGATGACTTCATGAATCCCTTCTTTAAAACAGTATATACAGTTGAATCACTTGTTTGATTCTATGATTTTCACATTTTATTTTTTGTATTTTCTCTGAAGCAAATTATTGTGATAACAAGATTATGCTCTATATTTGTGTTGGCTCCAGAATACATTTTCATCAACTTAACACTATTTTGGTAAATTCTGATTAACTAGGATTTAATCTATTTACTTCCTTGCAATTTTCTTGTTAGTGTTGTTGGTGACTACAAGTTCTATTCCACAAAATTCTGCCATTCATTCCCTACTTTTAATTCATGATCCAAGCACATATTTCCAACAATATCTCCACAGTCTCCTTTATCTTGTCATTAAAATCTCCATTACGAAATTTAAGCATTCCCCATTCATGTCTGACACAGAAATACTTTCTCAAAATAATATTATCCCAGCATTGTGTTATCTAATGAAATCACCAGTTATTTGTTTAGTTGTTTCTAATTCACATTCTAGTAATGGTGTATATTACAAGCATAATCTTTATGGCTTGAACTAAACTCTCATTCATGCCCATTCTACTGATTTTATTATGGGTCTGGCTACTAATGCTACCAATAAACACAATCTCATTGACTGTAATAATAATTAAAAAAACCATACCTCCACATCTTTCTCTTTTGGCAGAGTTTTGCTTGCTTCCATTTTAAGAGATGAGCCAAGGTTATAAAGCTCTATGCATTCTTACTTGGAAAAATGCCCTATGGAGCTGGTGTACATTTGTAAAAATATACAGAGGATAACCCTTCACAATATATACCTTAGTAATGTTTTATTCATTGGATTTATGCACGGAATGCAACCTGAAGTTGTGAGAAAGTTTTACTCTTCCACTTTAAAAAAACAACCTAAGTATTAATTACCTGGTGGTCCAGGGGATGGTATTTTGGGCCCACTGATCTCTAGTGCCATTTGGTAAAGGTTCTCGTTTTCTCCATTTAGTCCTTCTTCTCCATTTCTTCCAGCAGGCTCTTGCTGATCCAAGTTCTCTGTTTTGGGTTTCTTTACACGTTTGACTTGGAATGTAATCTGTCAAAGAAAAACACTATGAGGGTAACAGGATAAATGTATCAGGCATGCTGTTAAAAACGAAGAGCTAGCTGACTTCCTGCAGACTGAGTTGACTTCAAGGGCAATTTCCCGACAGTTTTCCTTTTCTCTACTCTCACTCTCATTCTGCTTGCATCTCAATACATCAAATGTACAAATAAAAGCATATGAAGATAATTCATGTAAGACAAAGTCGGGCAACATTGGGGACCACGGCAAAAGTGTCTTGTGAGCCTAGAAGCTGCTGTTAAAAGCACAATGTATTAAAATGAAGATGCCACACCTGGAGGGGCTGACAGGCACAAGGTAGCACCTCACCCTATACAGTGCAGAGGAGATGCCCTCCCTGATAACATGAGCTGCTCAAAGCCTGCTCCATTAAAGTCTATGGCACCAATTACTGCGGAAGTTATCTCATGCGTGTTCAGTTTCATTTGGAAATCAGAATGCTGCCAGCACACAATACTTTTAGACCAGATTTTATTGTATTTATTTTTATTTACATCCCATACATCTTTAACTTATATAAAACACAGAACAACAATGTAATTAAAATTATACACATATATAATGAAATACAGTAAAATGTTCAGCCAGAATCAGCAACTAAATGAATGAAAGCATCTTCCTCCTGCACCACAGCTTGTACATATGTGTTTTCACTTTGCTTTGGAAAGAGAATGAAGGGATCACCTGAAGCTTTACCAAGAGAGCATTCCAAGTGCTGTTGCCCCACTGGCCACACTTATGAAGTTGTGATTGACAGCGTTGGTATCCATTTGTCTCAACCTATAAAATGCTGTGAAGTGGGGTTAAGGAGCAGAGAGGCAGACTGACTCAGTGGCCAGAATCCTATTAATGTTTCCATAAAGTTTGTGTAAACTACCACGGCTAATTGACAAAATGCCCAAGTACATGTGGCCAGGTCACATGCTTTTTCACACGCTTGGCTGTTCAACTGAGATATGCCTTGGCATCTCATCAATTGGATGTCATTACGGTACTAAATTATGCAAAGACACATATATCACTCATAGTCAGATAAAGATTGACTTTGGAGGGACAGGCAGTGTTTGGGGAGGAAGAGTAATATGGAAGGAACAGCTGGTGTAAACTTAAAGTAAAAATTATTTTAAAAACCCAAGTGTAATAAAGGAAATGAATGTTGTAATTCAGTCAACTAAGTCTGTGTTCAACTATTTTGTTTCCATTTTAATTGGTACCAGTCTGTTTGGTGTGTGGACTAGTAAAATCCAATTGTGTACCAGTCAACCATATGGTTTGATTCCCTTTAAAAACCAGTTGTAGTTCAGAGAGAAGAAACAAGATGGGCCAATGGAAGCTTGGAGAATACAAGCTGGCAGGCACAGGAACATTTGGGCCATCATACAAGGGCACAAGCACCGTACAAGCATCTGTAGCTCCATTCCGAGGGGATGAATCAGCCTGTGTGGTCTTGGACACGCTAAGCAATCCCATAGCTCTTAATGCTTTACTTTCTATTTCCTGGCTTTGTTGAGCTTGAGCCAACATAAGATAGAATTAACTCTGGTTTTAACCAAGTGATTTGCCTAACACCGAATATCAGCTTAAGAAAGCTGTAAAAGGACAATTAAGTTTTCCCTAGAAAGCAACTGGAGAATTTATGGATCATGCACAAACAGGTATAAATAGGTCACTCAGAGTAAACTGGCATTGGCAAGATAATATATCTCTATCATGAAGGAGAAACCTAAGGGGATACAAAGACAGAAACAGAGCAAAAGAAGAGGCCAAATGAGGAATAGAGATGTAAAGAAAGACTAGTAATATAGAAATGTGGAAAAACTTATATTGAAATAACCAATCTTTAGTACTTGTAGATGAGATGGCTCAGAGATAAAATGGTAGCATGTAAAGAAATGCATTGATTAAACAGCAAACATGGTTAAAGGCACAAAAATCTAGACACAATGTGCAAAGAGGTACTTGTCTTGACTTTGTTGATGAAAGTTCTTACCCATTCAGTTTCGTCATCATCATCTCCACAGTCTCCAAAACAGGAGCTTGCAAGTCCGTCTGGAGAACCTTTCTTGAGTACACGAATGCCTTGCAGGTCCATTCGATGGCCTTTCACTTCCAGAGCACCTTCAAAGGCTTCAAGGGGCCAAGAGTTCTCAAACTCATCAACTAAGGCCAGCATCTCTTCAGACATCTGAGCATCTCCAAAACTTTCCACTTCTTCTGATCCATTGCTTTCAGCAATAACAGTGCCTATAAAGGGGATTTTACAAAATAAATCATTAACCTGCACTGTACCCGTGCTTTGATTCTTTGCCAAAATAGAGAAAAAGCATTACATGTTTGCATTTATTTATGCCAAGGAAACAAAATAAGAAAAAGAAGACCTGAACTGTTGTTCTTCACTAACAAGTATTCACAGCAAGGTCTCTGACTCCATCCAGTGGCCTGTTCTGATAATACATATGAAAATGTTTTTTTCCTGGATTTTTTTAAAAAAATATTTTAATATTTTCAGATTGTGGATAAGTGAAACTATGGATTCTGATCCCATGCATGTGGGGGGTCTTAATGTACTGGTTTTTTTTAACTGAAAGCACTATTTTATGTAACTGGATTCTCACTCATCGATGCAGCTCTCTTGGAAGGAGATGATAAGATCAATGGCAGACCCTGAAGTGCCACAGCTATTCAAAATATACAATATTGAGTTAGATTTCCAAAGAAGCTGATGTGTAGTAAGCCAGTTTTCTCTATCACTATATAAGGCCCTGTTTCAAAAGTAAACCATGCAAACTGAATGTATTTTTGCTCTAATTATGAATCTAATAGTCTATGGATTGGCTCCAAAGGTGGGCTTCTATCTAGGAATGAAAGAGCCTTTAATCCAATAGAATTCTGCTAATGAAAGGGGCATGGTAGACAATTCCCCCTTCTCCACTGCAATCCCCTACTACATCTGTGACATTCCAGAGTTCCCACATTCTCCAAAGCAGTTTTAAAGCAGAAGACCACAGGAGGAACTGAGAAAAGTGTCTCCTGCCTTCTGTGAATGGTCTCTCTATTAGTGGGAATCCTCATTGAAGATTTGCATCCAGTTCTATTTATTTTCAACAAAGAACATGACATTAACATTTTGAGTAAAAAAGAGGACAAGAACCACTGACTGTCATATTGCTTTCAATATCTGCTTCAGAAACAGGCAGCTGAAATTTGAATCTCATATGGAGGATTCATAAAAGTAGTTCTAATGAGGATTCAAGCGGCAAGCCAACGTGCAACATTTTGCCTTCAACAGCCTGAGGTATTGAAAAGATTAATCATGGAAAAGGAGATATAGATTTCATACCAATCTATCACCACCTTGCTCTTGGTCTAGCAGAACAAGCAATAACACCACTCTTCAATATAGGGTGAAATATGTATATGCTGTTGCAAAGATGCATTCTATTCAATTTAGAGTATTTTCTCTAAAATATATCTACAATTACATGATACAAAGTTATAATTTGAAAAGCACCTATCATCATAAGCCTCATCTATTTCCTATTCTTTTCACTGAAACAAATGCAATTTTTTCAAATGCTACTCTGAATAATAATGGGCAACAACCTAAAATCTGGAACATGCATCTTCTTGTCTTAAGGATAAAATGGCTAAAATCTTTCCATTGCTCTCAAAACTCTAGTTGGGGAGGAGTAAAAATGAATGACTATGTGTGTATGAGAGAGAGAGGGAGGGAGGGAAAGATGGAACAAGACAGGTGTGGTAGCACCTAAAGGGTGTTAAAATATGTTCAACTCATATTAAAACTTTAAGGACACTGTAGAAGGAATTTCTGCAGTGAGACTATCATTCAAAAATAGCTGCATGCTTTGTTTTTAAAACTTAATGAAAACTGTAAGAAGTTTCCATTATATGAAAAGAGCAGCAGTTCCAGAAACTACAGCATTTTCCTTCTCTAAGTCATGTAACTGAAAAGGATTATACATATAAATTGTTCCTAGCAGAACTCATGCTGGCTTGAAGAGAGTAAGGGATCGTGTGGACTTGTTCATCCCACTGAGAACAGAGAACATTAAAGGACAGTGTGCACTGCCTGTGTGTGAGCTGGCCAAGTTGCACATTTGTTCCTCTGAGGAAAAACAGGCATCTGTCTGGCTTCTGCTCCTATGACCGAGATGACGCAGATTACATGTTCTGTGCCCTGATCTTATCCATTCTTTTTCTGTCTACTTTTTGCATTGAAACACAGACTTGGAAATTATTAGTGTTAAGCAACACAAGAAGCACAGCTAAACTGCCTATCACATTAAGAGAACACACTATTTCTGTAAAGTTTCTTCTGCAAACCTTCTATTCCGCAATCAAATGTCGAACATGGGAAATCTATTATTAGGCAGTTTTACTTCTCAGCGTTGCTCAGCAAGTTTCTAACTCCTGACCCTGCAGAACTCAGATAATATTGGACATGAATTCTAATGGATAAGAGACAGGTCTCTACTTCCTTGCATAAATTTTCAACTCTTATTATATGCAAAAATTGTAGAAGAAATTCTGCAAAAATAAATTAATTTGCAGACTCCATATTGCAGAATTAATCATTTCTAGGCATGGGATTGTTGAGGGTACCGTTTGTTTGTTTTAAAAGAGTGTGCATGCAGCAAAACTATAAGGCATAACTTCCAAAATCAAAACATGACTATCCAATTGCCTGGAATATAAAACGTGACTAATGCCACAATGTCACTGAAAAATATCATGTTTACTTCCCGCCAATGCTTCTTGCAAAAATAGTTTGTTCCACCTGCCATTTAGCCTTGTGCCCTAGAGAACAGAGGGGAAGTACACTCTGGGTTCAGTCAGTGGTTATGCCAGTGACCAATGCCCAATAGCATGCTTCCGCTCCTTTTCTTGCAGGAAGAACGTTGTGGCTCCACCCATTGGCCAATGAAGGTGGAGCAAGAGCAGCTCAAGATTGTTTTGTTCCTTCTCCCTGACAGAAAGATGATATTATTTTGGGACTCTAGAACTGGTGGAAAACATGCCCTGGCCAACCTCGGCGACAGGACTAGGGGCTGCTAGTATGTGTGTTTGTATGTGTGAGGGGTTCTTTTTTCCTTTTCTCTTCTTGGTCATATTATCATGTTCTGGGAAATCATGTTCAGAAACAACTGACTTAAAGGTTGAGCCCACGTCTACAAAGATACTGCAAAAAGTGGTCAAAGTGCTCCCTTAACAACCAGTCAGAAATGCTGTACATACAATGCCGTGTGCGTAGAAGGTCCTATTTCTAAACACAAGGGAACTCAAAGTGACATGTGATATACCAACCATAGTACCTACACCTCTAAGTTTATACAGTATAGTGCATTAACATTTCAGGCTTGCAAAACCACTGATTTGTGTTAACTACAATTAAACATTAACACCTGCACACAGCTATTATGGTTAAGGCTCCTTTGCTTGCAAAGTGGCAAGCAGGAATGTGCATTCATGTTTTTTGTGCATGCGGGTCTGTGTTTTGTGTACCTTCATTTCACTCACCTGGAAAAAAGGCTGAGGTTTCCTTCTAGTTCTCCTTTCCCACAGCAATGCTTTTGGAAGGAGCTGCTGTAATGCTTGTTGGGGTAGTGATTCTTCAGGAGGTGCCATCTATACAGTACAAAGGGCAAAGAGGCTACCATCCCCAGATAGCATTGCATCAGGAAATAAGGCCCAGAGGAAGGCCTAGAAATAGGCCTCAGCCTTATTGAGGTAAGTGAAATGAAGATATCTGCTGGTGTGTGTTTATGGGTTTGAACTCTCATAATTCTACCTGGAAAATTCATGAACAACTGGAGTTCAACAACAGCAGCACTTACTTACCGTCTTTCCCCAAAGATAAGACAGGGTCTTATATTAATTTTTGCTCCAAAAATGCATTAGGGCTTATTTTCAGGGGATGTTTTATTCTACAGTTATGTCATCTTCTGGTTGCTGCACAATGGTGGAGGGCAGGGTTTCACTTAACTGGGGCTTATTTTTGGGGTAGGGCTTATATTACAAGCATATTTTCAGGTTAGGTCTTATTTTAGGGGAAATGGGGTAGTAACAAGCACGTCAGTGGCATCTCCATACATATATATGCTCTTGTTTGGCATCTTAACTGGGATTAAGATAGCAAACTACAGTTAGCACTAACTATAATGCAGCCAGGATCAGGGGCTGAAGCTGGTGTGTCAAGGATGTACAAATAAGCAGATGAGATAAATGCACTGAAACATGGACATTTAAACATGTGTGATTCATTTGCATCACATATAACAGAACTGAGAAATGTGAAGCCCCTTGGATATTTCTGGAATGCAGCTCCCAGTAACCCCAGTTTACATAAAGGTGAGGGATAATGCGTGTTTTAATCCAACATGTACATGTTCTCCAGCTATGCTATATAAACTTAGAATGCATCTACACAACAAAGAAGCAAGTTCAGTTTTAGGATGCTTTAACTCACAACTGTTGTATGAAAGGAGGTTGAATGATTAAACTTTTCAAATTACTGTGAATTGCACAAGAAGTTGCATGTGGTGAAACTCATACAACTACTCATGAACAGCAAATGTAACATCCCACTAGACAATAACAATTGTTCTACAAAAGACAAAAAGATCCTACCCCGATTTCTTTTGCTGTTTCCATTATTCAATATTCACTTACTTTCTAAAGTTAAGGAAGGTGAATCCCTTGAAGAACTACGAACAAGATCTGTTGAATCATCTTCAGCAGGTGTCTCAAGATTTTCTTCCACTGATATGATCTCAGACTCCTGTACGTCAAAGTATTTTTGCTTGCTATGGCTGTCATCTTGACTCTCTTCATGACAATGACCTGTGACAAACACACAGACATATATGCACACTCCCTTAGGGCAAAAATCTCCTACATCCCTTGGATTACTGATTCACATAAACAAGGGCCTAAAGGAAAGGCTAACTGTACAGCGATACTGAAGTTCAAGGAGGTCAAGCAGCATCAGTGTTTGATGGATAGATTTCTGAGTGGTTTAGTATTCTCACCATAATTAGAATGTCACAGCAGCTTCTTAGGTTCCTATTACAGCATTACAGCACAAGGTTGAAAACCAGGAAAATCTACATAAGAAAGCATGGATTTCCCTTGCTTCACAGACACAGGATCCAGGTACATGGATCACAGAGCCTTTGCCTGTGAGCTTTTACTATGATAGAGAGAACAGGTCAGTTGGGTGCATAAAAACTACGACTAGTTCAATTCTAAGCAGTTGCCATTGGCCCTGTATCTATAAAGGATATCTAGGTATAGTAAGTTTTATTTTGAAGATTTTTTAAATGCAAGATTATTATCAGGAAACTCCTGCAGCCTGAAAATAAACCAGGAGTACTATATGTTGTGCTTTTGAGATGTTAACAAAATGTTTCTGGATCTGTATTGGATTGAGGATGAATTTTATCACCCCAACATAGAGTGGCTTTGCCTATACTTCCTTTCCTTTGCAGTATGAAGGTTGATTTCTGCACTTGAGTAATCAGATGGCAATTCTGGTGAGCTGTGCAGATTGATGTAAGTGTTGATAAAAGGGATTTCTGTTGTGCACACTGAATTAATAGTGCATAGGTTGAACTATGGATTTCTTAACTGATTTTAATGGAACTTTTTAAAAAGTGCTCTATAAACCAATTTGGCTGGAAAGCAGCCCAAAATATACTTAATGAAATAATGTGATTTAATCTTAGTCTGAAGTATGCTAGTTTTTTGGTACTGGATTTGGTATTTTTGTGGTCTTCTGCAATTCCATACTATTTCATCCAAATCTCTGATGTACTATTTCATCCAAATCTCCTGCTGTACTGTTTGTGTTACGTTTCTGTCCAATCCCATTTAAAACACTTTGGCCAGGATGTAAATAGTACGTCTAAGAAGCTAAGGACTCCTTAAGAAACTGGACTCTCAGTTCACCACTGCCATGCAGCAAACTACCCTTGAAAATGAAGGAAAGTTTCAAAGTAGTCTGCAGCTTCCCATCCAATAATGCAGCCGGCTAGCAACAACAACAACAAAACTAAACTCACTCCCCAAGTATTTACTTGACTCCTAGCCATTAAATCTGGTTCTGTTGGAGGAGAAAATATTCTTGGTTATTCACAGTCCCTGCTGAATACAGTGAGGGTGTGAGGACTTGGAATCCTTCACATAAATTAGGCTATACACTGCTAATTTAAGGGCCAAACAAAACAAGATCTAAGATACATTCCACAACAGGGAACCATTATGGCAAATAACAGAACAGAGATGCTATCTGAAAATATTTTACAAAATAGGCTAACCAAGGAAAAAGCTATTGAACTTTATATACTTTTAAATATGTTATCTTGTTCAATTTGTCTCAGTCATCTCCCCCCACTCTCAGCATAGCATCTGAGTCTCATTTTTTCTTCCACATTCATCTCCTTCCTCTCCACTCCCCATTAAAAATTAATGGGTTTCATATTTTTAAATCGCTGCAATATGCAGAGAGCTTCATGTGTAATTCATAACAGATAGGGAGCACAAAACCCCAATGCTGAAATTAGTCCTCGCCACTGACATCTGATCCAGAATGACTTCAGGATAAGCTTGGTGTATTCTAAGAAAATGATGCCCTTCAGCAGAGGAAACCGTGGCACTTTAGCATTCTGATACAAGAGAGGAGCATTAAGTATTGAAGATTTTATGGGGAATGCTAGAGTATTAAGAAAGACACTATAGAGGAGTGATGGGTGGTAGAAAGCACAAAGAGCAGAAACACACTCAACAGAATTCCAGAAGAATGAAGTTAGCACCATCTTTATTATTAGGTTCAAATGGAGGTGGGTTGTCTCCACTGGTTATTTGGTGAAGCCAAGACCCTGCCATACTTTGATAAGAAATTAACTTCATTTAGTTTAGGTTTTGTTGTTGTTTAGTTGTGTCCAACTCTTCATGACCCTATGGACCAGAGTACGCCAGGCCCTCCTGTCTTCCACTGCCTCCTGGAGTTGGGTCAAATTCATGTTGGGAGCTTCAATGACACTGTCCAACTATCTCATCCTCTATCGTCTCCTTCTCCTCTTGCCTTTACATTTTCCCAACATCAGGGTCTTTTCCAGGGAGTCTTCTCTTCCCATGAGATGGCCAAAATATTGGAGCCTCAGCTTTATTGTCTGTCATTCCAGTGATCACTCAGGGTTGATTTCCTTTAGAATTGATAGGTTTGTTCTTCTTGCAGTCCAGGGGACTCTCAAGAGCCTCCTCCAGCAGCACAATTGAAAAGCATCAATTCTTCGGTGGTCAACTTTTTTTATGGTCCAGCTCTCACTTCTGAACATCGCTACAGGAAAATCCATAGCTTTGACTATGGAGACTTTTGTTGACAAGGTGATGTCTCTGCTTTTTAAGATTCTGATTAGGTTTGTCATCGCTTTCATCCCAAGAAACAGGCATCTTTTAATTTGGTGGCTGTTGTCACCATCTGCAGTGATCATGGAGCCCAAGAAAGTAAAATCCGTCACTGCCTCCATATCTTCCCC